CTAGGCCAAAAAGTGTAAAAATATTGTCTGTTCACCTTTTTGCAGCTGCATCAATCATATCAGCAGCCATCATCTTGAGCCGATTGTCTAGGTGTTCTGCAAATACTGCGTCAGTCCAATGGAGCTCTCGAATGAATGTTTGAAGTGCCTCTAATTTCCAAATGAGTTCGTCAGAGGAGACGGGAATTGCAGCTCCCATGTTCCCACCCCCACCACCGCCTCCACTTGCAGCGTTCACCGCAGCTGAGACGAAGTTGCCACTGCCTACTGCGGCAGCGTTGGCCGCATTGACAGCCGCGGAAGCGATTGAACTGCCCATATTGCCTAGTGCCGAGGCCAATCCGCCACCAGAATGTTCAGTACCATTCATTGTAGTATATGTACCATTGCCGCCGCCCTCCACGAGGGGCACTCCGCGGATGCACTGTATGATGGATGCTTCCATGAGATCCACATAGCGGATTACCATTGGAGCGAACATCTCACGAATCTGTTGGTGGAATTTCCCCTCCTTCAGACATTCTAAAGAGTCGAAATAGTTGCCAAAAGGATAGTATGTTAAGGCAGAAAAGTTGTCTTATTAGGCGTTGATACAAGGCGATTAACCTTTACAAATGTATGCTTGTCCATCCTGCAGTGTGCAGAATTCAGTATGATGCTGCACTATCACTTATCTGTGTTCAACACATTTCCATAAAATATGAGCATTTGAGATAACAGTTTATGAAGATGACGGTATAACAAGCACTTTGCTCGTAACACTGTTTATGTGACCACCTGATGTCTGGCAGTTACTTTGTCATTCGTTTTGACCCCGTACGCGCAGGCTGGCCTTCAGGCCATTTTGACCCCCATTCCTTCTTCTTCCGGCAGAATATATGTATTTTGTCCAACGTGATGCATTCTTCTACCCAGGAAAAGTCCCAAGGCGTTAAATAGTTCATTAACTTGTCGATACATATAAAGGAGTAAGAAAGCCATCTAATTAAAGAGGCCAAACTGTCCACTTTGCGAAAACACATGAAGC